CACATGGTGCGCATGTATACACACGCACGTTAGTGTATCAATAGCACCGCTGTAGTAGTTGGCACAACGCGTAGCAGCAGAGCAGCTTCGCCTCTTTGCTCTCACTGCCAGGAAGCTCGATACGATGAGACGTTCCAGAGGTGGCCTCGCCTTCGAGGGACCTGGGGCTGACCTCTCTTCCTCGGCTGACGGCGGAGGGACGCAGGGGGAAGTGAAGCGAGGGCGGCTCCGAGAGACGACACCATCCGAGAGACGACACCATGTATGGGATCCAGGTTCCGGGACCACCCACACACGAGGTGGCCACCCTGGGCGAGCGTTGGTTGCACTTGTGGCCGCATGCCTTCCGAGCACTCGGCCATCGCATGGCCGGGCAATGACAAAGCTGGCCCTCCGCACGTGCCTCTCCAGCGCGGGGCCTCCGCACGGACGCGGGCCTGGTCGTGCCCGCGTCCGGCGCCCTGGCAGTCCTGGGCTGGCCTGGGGTCCCCTCCGCGACCTCCGCGGGGCTCCTCCACGGCGCAAGCGGCCCAGACATCCGACGAGACTCGACTCTTGCGGTGCACGGCCCCAGAAGTCCCGACCCCTTCCCTTGGGGGTATAGCTGTCAGTCCCGGGATGCGTTCTTGGTGGCCCCTGGCCCGATGGTGGCCCGCAGAGGCTTGAGGCTACGAAAGACGACGGGGTCGAACTCATCGTACCGCCAGAGATGTGGCCACAGTACTGTTTGTTATTTAATCGCTTCGCTCATTCCGCCGGCCCTCGAGCGCTCTATGGGGCCTGTTTGAAGCCTCTTGGGGGCCTCTTTGGGGCCTCCTGGGGGCCTCTTGGGGGTCTCTTGGGGCTCCTCGGCGAATTTCCATGATATTGTTTGTTATTTCCATTTGGCGCACAACGGTCGCGGGTACCGCTACCGGGCCCCTTCTCCCCCCCCGTCGGGTGGTTACTTGGCATCGCTCGGACGTGTGCATTGTTCCTTCGGCGAGGGCCATCGAGGAGCATCCTTGATCATTTGGCGAAGAAGCCACGCACGAAACCGAAAAAAACACAGGGAATGGACGTCCGAGCAATGGCCAGGTTAATGGGCGGTGGCCCAAATGGGGGATGAAGAGAAGAGCCCTACACGGGGCCCTTTAGGGCCCCAGTTTGGAGCCAGCAGGGGCCAAAACAGGGGGCCTGAAGTGCCTATTTGGGGCCTTTTTCCCCGAATTATTTCGGCCACCCCCCCACCCGCCTGAGGGTGGCAGCGAGAGGGACCAGGAACAGTACAAGATACCTCGATGCTGGCCCAGTGCCGCTGCTGCTGCCTCTCCGTCTCGGGCCGAACGAAAGGGGGGGATAGGGAAAGGGGGGGGTACGAAATTTGCTGCGTGCAGCTGGTTTCGGCCCGAGGGGCCCATTCCTCGATACATGGGCGCCTGGAGGCGCCGGGAAGATCAGCTACGTGAGCTGATTCTCACCCCCCCCCTTTGCTATCCCCCCCTTTCGCCCGACCCGACCGTCGCGCCCCCCCCCCTCCCGGCGAAGCGCGGCTGCAGGACTGAGCCGCGCCCCGCCCCGCCGCGGGGGGAGCTCCGCCCCACCCCCCCACCCAGCGCGGCGCGCCCGCGAGCCGCCGCGGGGACGTGCGCGGCAGGAGTGGCGTGGGCGCGAGTCTGTAGCCCGCGCCCGTGGGAAGTTCGGAGGCTGCTCGTGGGCGAAAGATATGAGAGGAGGAGGACGACGAGGAGGAGGAGGAGGAGGAGGAGGACGAGGAGGAGGAGGGGGATGAGGGGGAGGATGGGGAGGAGGAGGACGAGGAGGAGGAGGAGGAGGAGGAGGGGGCGGAGGAGGAGGAGGAGGGGGAGGAGGGGGGAGGGAGGAGGAAAAAGAGGAAGCTGCGTGGACACTTGAGACTGCTACCTTTCGCCCGTTGTCATTGTTCGTCTTCTAGGTCGCCTCCTTTGGATTCGCTTCAATTTTTCTGTCGGAACGCTCCCCAGGAGAGGTTAGGGGAGTAGCATCCCCGGTACTTCTTGGTTCTTCTAAGACATGTCCGTTTGGAGCCGGGACCTGACTTGGCCCAGCATTGTCTCTGGCGAGCAGGACGGGGGCAAGGGGTTCGAGGTTTTGGCTTCGGGAAGGTTTTTGGCCTCTTGACCGCCAAAGGCGAAGAACAAATTGCACAAGATGGACCCCAGGAGGGGTTTGGTGACCGATTTTGAACGGAGTTGCCCTCATACCCCCTTCTTGACCGATTTTCTCGGGCCCATCCAGTTCAGACCCACCAGCCGCCTCCAAATGTCCGCATCTGCGGCCTCGCGGGCCGGGCCCCTGGGCCACGACCCCGCGGATACGGGACGTTTTCTCGCGGATGCCCCGCGTGGAGCGTTTTCGCACGACTGCGTATCCGCAGGATCGCGCCCAGGAGTCCAGACCGTGAGAGCGCGGATGCGGACATGTCGCCGCGCCGTTTGTTCCGACGCACGGCCTTCCGTCTTGGGGAGGTCGCCGCGGGCACCAGGGCAAACGCCGCCTCGGGAGCCGTGGGCTTGCTGTGGGGATTGCCGCGGCTCCGGCTGCGTCTCCCTGGGGCGCGTGGCGCAGGGCGCGTCGGCGTCGTCCATTTGGGCGCGTCGAGAGAAAACGGCGCGGCGACATACCCGAGTGCCCCAGAT